AGAATATTCCGAGTTGAAAGAGACCCACAAGGATCATTGAATCCAACTCCTGTTGGTTACTCCTGTAGTTACAATGCAAGGCATTAATAGAAATGACAGTGATAAGTGCTCTTCTTTTATAACTGCACTTTGCAATATCTCTTAAATTTTTCATTTTCTTTTGGTTGAATGGGAGGAACTGCTTTTTTTGTCTTTTAATGTAACTGTGTCCTCTTGTTTGGGAACTTGACCTGGTTTTCCTATTTTAAGTTATTACTATTATCTTAGTGAATAAACTTACCGGTGAAAAGGATGATTTCATTTGGATCCCTTCACCTCTTTTTGCAATTTGAATGTGACCCTTTGGAACGTGCTGCTGGATGACATTTACCCAACAGGGATTGCAGGTCCCCTCCACAGTGGGCCTGCTGCATTCCTGTTGAGAGCATCTGTGGATTGCTGAGTCAAAATCATGTCCCTGACATGCCAGGTCCCTGTCTGCCTGTGGAGGTGGCTGGAGACAGGAGTTGGGAAATTTCTTGTGTCACATGTGTTCATTATCCAGTAACTCTGCACTGAGGGATGGAACGGTTGAGCTTTCTGTTCCAGGGCTGGAGGTTGAGGTAAGAGTTAGCAAAATCATGAGCTCCCAAAATGCTTCTGGATGTAAAGTTTACTGAATTAGACAGTAGTAAATACACTGGATGTACTTGTTCTTATTTGAAAAAACCCAACTGTATAAAGTAGTAAGTCTGGTTTAAATGCATACAATCAAACCTGAGGTGAACTGAAATTTGGCTCTTCACTTTCTCTCATCCCTTCACATTGTAGATGTTTCAGGGGGTCACCAGAAAAGCCCAAGTAGCTTTAGACAAAAGAGAGATTCAGAAATATCTTTGACTTTTATGGACCTTTTCATTAAAATGCTTAGAGCTGTAAATGTAGAAATAAGAAATTCATTTATCTTTACAAAAGTGCTGCTATTCCGCACTCATAAAATAGTCTTTTAAATTATTGTTTCTGCTTGTATCAATAAATCCATACAAAATGCTTAAAGGTCAAGCATTGCCAGAAAAATGTCTTTTCAGCTTGTTAATTAGGAGTTTATAAGAATGTGCACAAGCTTGCTCTTTAAATAAACCGGAAAAGAAGAAGGGGAAAAGAAAAAGGTCCCCATGGATAAAAACATAGTGTGGAAGTCTTTGTTCCATCAGGCTCACCATGGCCTGGGCAGTCAGGGCATGAAAACAGGTGGCTCCGCTAACAGCAGGAACAAAAGTTTATTTTTCTGTTTGTTGGGGAGGTACCTTGATTGGTCACCTCCTGAAGCCCATGGGCTTGAGCTGAGGGCCCAGCTTGAGCTCGTGTATGAAGGGGAGTGTGAGCAGGATTTGACATGTCATAGCTTGAGCCATGGGAAATTTGTCCAGTTCTCATTGTGTGGCCAAGGGCATTAGATGAAGACACTCATGTTTTTATTTCCCAGGCAAGTGGTTTTATTTTCTCGTTTATGTGCAGCTTGAACAAGAACAAAGCAGTGTAAATTGTACCCAGAGACAAACTGCCCAACCACCCATTCTGGCACCTGCACCTCCTTCATTGCAGAGAGCACAACTGGGATTCCCTGTTTCATACTTCACTTCCTTCACCCATCATCATGGAGACATCCTGGTCTGCCCAAAAATTAGGCCATTTGGATGGAGGTCTCCATGCATGGATGAGATGAAGTTAATCAGTCACATGGATTAGACACTGGAATTTCCACCTGCACAACAGTCTAGCCCTGACCATTATCATTTTACTTCTAAATCTAGACTTTTTTAATCACTAAAAGGGAGACAATAATACTGACCTAGGTGAAGCACCCAGATGTAAGAGATGAAATGTGTTACAGTAAAAGTATGGAGGTCAGTGAATTCTAGAATAGCTTGAGCTATTTATTGCCCAAGCTGGGAAATAGTAACAAAACAATGTAAATAGTGAAAAATAAAACAGATTCTTACATATCTCTCTGTCTGAACATATTGTAGTGCTAATATTAACATGAGATTGAAGTTCTGATTTTTTCCTTGGCCATATGATTTCTATACTGAGATTGTTTCCTTGAATATTCACTAACAGATCCTTACTATAAAACCCTTTGTAAACAGAAGGCTGTATCTTTGTCACTGAAAATTTCATAACTTAAGAGTGCCGTTACTTGGTTTTGTACTTTTGTGTTTGCTGCAGAACTACTTCAGGAAAATAAATCTGATGAACTTTTTGAAAGTGCAGGTGACAGGTCTGACAGTAGTTCATTTCTTCATTACCCACAGATGATTCCTCCTGACTTTGCCTTCAAGTGAAGCTGAGGAAACAGTTCACAGTAGTTTTGTGGTGTTTGTTGTTTGTTCTCTCATTTCTTTTGTCTCAGTCATTCACTGTTTTGAAATTTAACCATAACTGGCCCAGCAGTGCACCCAGGGGCTGACATGACCTCCTTCCTCACAGGATAGAGTCATTCTGTTCTAGATGCTTGGCTGTTTTTTTATTCCCTGGAGATATTTGAAGTAATACAAGAGAAGAGATTTTTTGCAGAGACATGGAGTTTTTTGTGCATCTTAACAATTGATAACTCTATCTTACTTAACATCTCAGTAATTTGACTCTTACCTTTATAATCAGCTCAATTTCATTCAGTATCAGCACTTTGTATTTTAATGCCACCACAGAATCATTAAGGTTGGAAAAGACATCCAATATCATCAAGTCCAACCTTGGACCAAACACCACCATGCCAACCACCATGTATTTTGTTGTCCAGTTTGGAAATCTTTGCAAATCCTTGTGTATCTGTAGGAATAGGAATATTAGAATGTGTGTTTGCAAGGTCAGAGGCAGCAGCCTTTAAAGCACAACTTCCCAGAAGGCAGAATTTTTTAACTTTCTGTAGAGGGTACCTGTGCAGCCCAGGAGAAGTAGTGGTGCTCCTGGTATTTCCAAGTAGACTTAGACTTCACTTGTGGTGAAAGAAATCTCCTTTGGGATAGTAGGGAAATATAGATCCTACTTGTGGTAAGCTTTCTGTAGCATGAGTTGGAAAGTTCACTTTAGTATTTACCCAAAAAAATCTGGATCAGGGCTGAATTGATTACAGTTCATGCTAATATTAAGCAGGAAGCTGTGATAGGTCTGAATAATGCCCACAGCAGTAGGTGGCAGCTCAATTTCTCCTTCTCCCAGACTGCAGTAGTTCATCATGTTATTCTTGCTGATGTGTGAGGCTGGAATAGGGTAGAGAGAGCAATAAAGCTGTTCAGTCAGATCCTTCCCCTTGTTTTTAGTCCATGTATCACCCTATAAGGAAACTGTGGCAGAAATACCCCCTTCTGTTCCTCACCCTGCTGCCAGATCCTTAATTTCTAAAGGAAAGTGTAACTTCCTTTTATCATCCATGGGTGGAAATACTGCTGTCTCTACCCGCTTTCCCTCTTCTCTTGGCTTGAGACAGAATTTTAATGGAGTGTGTGTTTCCATGGATAATCCAGGGTACTGGTAATCCATGAGTACTCAAGAAAAATTGTCGTGCATGTTTATAACTGTTCAGCTCTCCTTGTTGTTTTAATCAGGCAAATCTTCTTCAAATGTTAATCTTTGCTGAATATGCAACATCACACCCCCAAATGTCTCTGACAGGAGTAGCAGAGGTAAAAATAGAAATGTTGTAGGAGAAGTTTATTAAGAATATTCTGCCTGAATACACTTGTTATTTCTTATCAAACACTGGAGACAGAATGAAATAGACTGTTTTGCCACTCTGTGGGTGAGGTATGAGGAGAACATATCAGCATGGATATGACACAGTTTCACTTTCCTTGAGCTGATTATGTTATAGTTTCTTTTCTACTGACAAATTTCATTACCAGATTGGGGTAATAATAGCATATTTTATCTCGCTGGCTGTGTTCCAAACTCTTGGTTTAGAGCAGAGTTAAATTTAGCAAAATTCAGCTGAATCTATATTTTTCTCCGTATCAGCTATTTCTAACAGCCTGGTGAGATTTTCTGTTGGGTGACTAAGTGTCTCTTTTTTTTCTCCGTATCAGCTATTTCTAACAGCCTGGTGAGATTTTCTGTTGTTGGGTGACTAAGTGTCTCTTGCTGTTACAATGACAGTCATATGCTTGCTTATATTGCTGTGTCGTCCCAACAGCGATAACCAAATGCTAGATAAAAGTTACAAAGCCTTGCCTTAACAATATTGGCCAGTTAACCAAAGTATGAACTTTTGGTTAGAAGCTGTGGCTTCCCCATCCCTGGGAATGTCCAGGGCCATATTGGATGGGCCTTGGAGCAACCTGGTCTGGTGGAAAGTGCCCCTGCCCATGCTGGGGGGTGAAATTGGGTGATCTTTAAAGTCCCTTCCAACCCAAGCCTTTCCATGATTCTGTGACTTGAAATCAGGGTTGAAAGACATTGAATGGCAAAAGTTACCTGTCTTCTTTACATATATGGCCCAATCATAAATTTATAAGCTATCTACTTATTCCATCCTATCTTAAATAAGCTTTGAATAAATTTGGTATACAACTAAGAAAAGGGTGAGTAACAAAAATAAGCATGGATAGTAATAAATGCTGTGTTGGCCCAAATGGGTGTCAGCTGAATGTTATAACAAAAATAAGCATGGATAGTAATAAATGCTGGCCCAAATGGGTGTCAGCTGAATGTTGTGTGGCAGTGTGCTGTAGTAGATTTACAGGCAGCTTTCCATTTAAATAATTCAGTATTTACTATTTCCTGAGGCACAGCAAATACCTCTTTGTGACCCTAGCTACCATGAAGTGCATCATTGTACCAATACACATCACCATGGTGCATTTCAGGTCTTTTTTGAAAACAGTCTGGTGCCTAGAGAGCCTTCAGCCAGGGCAGCTGGGAAGAGAAAAAGAGCTGGAAGGGAACTGCTGGCTCAGAGAGATTCTGTCTGGGGAAGCTTTTGAATTGTTTTAAGCTGTGTTCAAATGTTTTTCTTCCAACAGACTTTGGGAACTATCACTGCAGTGCCCATTAAGGTTCCTCAGGTCAGCTCCTTGCAGAGGTTGGCAGGACAAGGACCAGCAGTGCTACCTCAGGTAAAAAATACACTTTCAAAGGCGGGGGGGTTGTGTCATTTTTTACATATTCTCTGCTTCTGTCTAGTGCCCAGGCCTGGGTGCATCAGCACACTGATTTTGCAGAGTTGTGGTTTTTTTCAGTCCATGAAAAAAAAAAAATATCTTCTGGGAGTGTACTGATAGCACAATGAAAAGCTATAAAATGCAATGTAGATTCATTGTGGAAGAGCAAAATACATATGGTGGAATGTAAATTTATGCTTTAAAGTTGAATCACAAATCAAAGGAGTGAAAACCTGCAATTCTGTAATTAAAAGAACTGATGGAAATGTTACCCTTCCTGTTCAAGATTTAACCCCATGCTCTGTTTCACTGACTTATTTGCTTTGTCTATCCCAATGCAAAGTTTTGGCCCAGCTAACCCAGGGGCCAGACTGAGGAAAGATTCTCTGAGTAAGAGCTGCACTCACTGTTTTTAAAAATGTTTAAAACTGTCTTCTTTTCTGAACACCAATCACTGTTTCTATAATTATTCACTTTATTCCCCATTTAAATCCTCTTTCACAAAATTTTTGGATGTCATTTTCAACAGGTGTTTTGCTGCAATTCTATGGTTTGCTCTTCACATTAATGATTATTAAGTATAAATGTATTTCTCCCACTGTGCCCCTTAGAGCTCTATTTCTCATATATGAAAACTAGAAAAGTGCTGAAGTTGGTGATATATAATCTTCCTCTTTTTCCTTTTTTTTCTTTTTTTTTAAGTGGTAGAATCTAGTATAAGATCTGTTAAATTTACTAAATTTACTTGAAGGAAGAAGTATTTCCAATACAAAGTTCTTAAATTCTCTCTTTAAATTACATTTTGTGGAAGGCAGTGTTGTGAACATAAAAGTGAGTTTTCTTATCAAGCTCAAGACTTTGCTTTTCAGTTGTTCTTACAACATAATAACATTTTGATTTCTGCCATTTTGGGGTGTCAAAGATGAGCAGGTTGCTCCTGGAAATAGATGATGTTCAAGAGCAGCTGAAAGACCTGTAACAGGACCTAAATTGTAATTTAGGTTGTGTTTCAGCAATAGTGATGGCATTGCAAGTGCTGCACTTAGAGAAGTACCAATGCCTTATGCTTTAGTTAAATAGAAAAATTTCATGCAGTGCTAGATTCCAATTTGAAGAATTGAAAAAAGTGGAGGAAGCTGATTTCCTCAGCTTTTTGAAAAGAACACATCCTTTCTGTCTTGCTGTTTAGGTAATGGCAATATTTTTGTTTGTATTTCCCTTTGTTTCCCTCCCTTTGTGGTACAGCTTTCATTTCAGAGCTGTTTATGCAATCATACTTAATACTAATCAACTATCAGTGCTTTCTTGGCTGCCCTGAGCCATAGCTCACTAACTTTTCTATTTAGTGAATATTTCATGTAGACAGAATGGGCAATAACTACCTAGCAATCTCATTTCTGAAAAAAACTAGAAATGAAGTAGGCAGCTGTATGTAAGACCATGTTAGGGGTATGTCTTATGCCCTGAGTTTTTTCTGGCTTCTTCACAGGCCTGCAATGGGCCAGCTTCTTCAGCAACAGCCTGACCTATTTACATGGCAGTCCTCTTTTATGCTGCTTTATGGTCCATATGTTCCTCTCCCCCTCCAAGCTCACAGAGAAGTTTAAAATTTCCATATGGATTCCTAGTGGGGAATTCCCTCCATCCTTCAAACATCCCTCCTTTGTGCTCAGTGTCTTCAGAGATACCAGGTTTTCATCTACAAGCGGAATGTTTGGCTTCTAATTAAACAGACAGATGTCTTGAACATAGACTTAATATGGCCATGGACCAGAATGGTGCAAAGCTGTCATTCCCAGGGAAAGCTGAATGCAGATGACCTGGGAAGCCACTGTAAGTCTGCAGCACTGTGTCACTGTGAAGGCTGTCCTTTGTAAGAGCTGTAGGGTGTGTGCATAGTCACTGCTCTGGTCCAGGAAAACTGGGAACTTCAGATGGAAATATAAATATTCCAGGAAGCAAAGCCATGTGATACCACACAGGTGTTACGGTAAAAAACATCTCCTTCTTCTTCCTTGTAGTGTTGTGAAAACAAGCAACCAATAAAAAATTAGTTTGGAAATTAAGAGGTGTCTATTATCTTCCAGTAGGAGCTGGTAATCATGCAGAATTAAATCTGGTCACAGTCCATGTCCTCCGCTTTTATTCCTCAAACTTGGTCACAGACCAGGCTGGCCACTAACCTCCTTTTGTCCCCGTGGGTGACAGCAAGGCCCCATACCTTGCTCTGAGTCACTGGCACAACCCTGCCATTCTAGGACTGACTTTCAGAGCTGCAAATCCCATCTCCTAAGCATACCAACAAGTTGGGTCCAGCTGGGTTTTGGCACCTGCTAAAACATTTACTTTGTTTGCCCATGTAACAGCAAATTACTGGGACAGCAGAACCATATTCATCACTCCTCTACCAAGAATTTGGAGTATTTCACAGGGAATGAAAGCAGTGTCCAGACTCAGATGTTATCTGTGGCTCAGTCTTGTTCTGCAAGGGATGGAACCTTCCTCAAGCTCCATCTCTACAAAGTCTAGTTGTGACAGTGAAGTGTGTAGAGCCCTGCAGTGATGCCACTAGAGCAGCAAAGGCTTCTGTGCTACAGCAGCTTTGTCTGTTTATTCAAGCAGGTGAGTCCAGGTGTAGCTGGAGGTGCAGTGGCAGGTAAAGTTGCACTCACCTCATCTTTTGGGCTGCATATGGTGCTTCTCTGCAGGTATGTGGAGGAGTGGAAGGCCTGGGTGGAGCCTTTTTGGGATTCCTGCCATTTTAGGAGCCTACTTACTTGTGAATCATTGTCTGGGAGTGCCTTTCCTCTAGGATGGACAGATTCTGTCTCAGGTGCATGTAAGATGCCTGGGAAAAATCCAAGTCAGTATCTGCATTCCTGGCAGCACACCAACTGCTCCCTGGCATTTCTCCTTTTGGCCAGTCTCATTATTTCTTTGGAATTCAGATTCCCTTTAGAGTTACAGGTAGGCATAAATATTACCATGCAGGCTGGACAGAGAGAGGGGATTCATCCATTTTGAGGCCTCATCGTGTCTAAAGGAATTTAATATATTTGACACTTTTGTGCTTCTCATCTTGACAGCCTCTTTTGATTTACCCCTATGCAGTCAAGAAAAAACATACCACACAAGTAAAATGAAGTATTTAACATAAAATAATGCATACAGCTCCCTCATTTTCCACATTAGTACAGATACTTGTCATTTGTTTTGTTCATTTGAATTGGTTTATGATATGACCCCCTGGAAGCTTTTCCATCTGGGAAATGATGTTTCCAAATTTGCACATTCACAAATGGCAGCAAAATCCCATCACTTAAAACCACTAATTAAACGGCAAGCAAACAAACATTACTTACAAGCTCTTTGCACAATACAAACAGTATTTTAGGCATTCATTATTTGCCAAAACAAGCTTCTTTGGCAGAAATTTGTGGGGGTTTTGTTGTTTGGGTTTTTTTTTTTTAATTTATTTGGGGTTTTTTTTATTTGGTCGGTTGGTTGGGTTTTTTTCCCTAAATATGAAGGTATTTTTGCTTTCATCAAATAAGTGAGCTGTGATGTTTGAGAAGCTATTTCCAGATAGCTTTTCTCTTCTTACTTTGGTCTTTGAGGTCTCCAGCTGAATAAGGTGCTTTGAAACTGCAGACTCTCCACTGCACTCTAAGAAGAAAATCCTAAAGGTCTTCTACTTAAACACTGTGGCACTCCAGAGCAATTCCTCCTCTTTATGGCACAATCTTCCCTAAAGAGGGCATGGCATTCTGTCAGGTTGAGTTCTAATATCCAGCTGCAGAGCAAATATTCTGTTTATTTTGAACTGGTCTACAGACAAGTATAAGTTGCACTGTAGCCACCTGGAGGTACATGTGAAATGTGATTTTCTGTTCTTCAACAGGAAGATTTTAAATGAAAAGGTAAAAAATATTAAAACAAATCCCCTGTTTTATTGTCAGTAATTTGGGTCTAGTCCAATCCTCATTCAAATGAATGGAGAGACTGTGACATTTTGAATAGCAGTTAAATCAGATTACAATGCTGTCTCCCTGCCCTGTCTTTCCAGTGCTGGTTGAAGGCACAGTTTGGGATGGCTTTGCTCATGACACTGCTGCTTAGAGCAGAGCAATGTCTGCATTGGAGGGATCACATGGGTTAGTGGTGAAAACAAACAGGTACTCACAGGGCTTTAGGTGAAATATGTATGTTTCAATCAACTCTGTCAAGTTCTGCTGTCAGATATTGCTGCGTTTTTATCTTCTGCAGTGACTTTATGTCTTTGGTTGGAAATGGGTGTGTGTATTCTATTCCTATCTGATGGGGCAGTTATCTTCTGTTAATGGGGCAGTTTTCTTTATATCTTCCACAACCCATCCTTCCTCTGGGGAAATGTCTTCTGGTAATGGGCCAGTGAGTGTCACTGCATGACTGATAGAATGACATCATAACCATTGGGAGAAGCTCCGCCCAGAGGGAGGAACCAAGCATTCCTACCTGGATATAATCTGGGATTTGGAAGACCACAGCAGCCTTTTCCACTGGATTCCCAGAGGAGCCCTTTCCCACTGGATTCCAAGGAAGACCAGGCCCATGTACACCACCACTGGACCTTCAGAGGAAAACTCCACCCTTCTACAGGATCCCTGCTTCAACAGAACCACAGCTGGCACTGCAGGAGGGCTGCTGCCAACAGGGTGTCAGGTCGTATTCTGACTCTGTCAGTGTTGGTTTGTATTACTGCACTGTTTATTTTATTTTTATTTTCTTCCCTAATAAAAAACCTGTTATTCCTGCTCCTATGTCTTTGCCTGAGAACCCCCTTAATTTCAAAATTATAACAATTCAGAGGGAGAGTTTACATTTTCCATTCCAGGGGAGGCTCCTGCCTTCCTTAGCAGACACCTGTCTTTTCAAACCTTGACACTTTAATGTGTATAATTCAGTAGGGTCTGAAT